TTGCTTTTTCGATGATCCAGCAGATGTTGGCAATTTGATCTCTGGTTCCTCTGCCTTTTCTAAAATCAGCATGAACATCTGGAAGTTCACGGTTCACATATTGCTAAAGCCTGGCTTGGAGAATTTTGAGCATTACTTTACTAGTGTGTGAGATGAGTATAATTGTGCAGTAGTTTGAGCATTCTTTGGCATTGCCTTTCTTTGGGACTGGAATGAAAACTGACCTTTTCCAGTCCTGTGGCCACTGCTGAGTTTTCCAAATTTGCTGACATATTGGGTGCAGCACTTTCACAGCATCATCTTCTAGGATTTGAAATAGCTCAACTGAAATTCCATCACCTCCACTAGCTTTGTTCATAGTGATGCTTTCTAAGGCCCACTTGACTTCCCATTCCAGGATGTCTGGCTCTAGGTGAGTGATCACACTATCATGGTCATGAAGATCTTTTTTGTGTAGTTCTTCTTTGTATTCTTGCCACCTCTTCTTCATATTTTCTGGTTCTGTTAGGTCCATACCATTTCTGTCCTTTATTGTGCCTATCTTTGCATGAAATGTTCCCTTGGTATCTCTAATTTTCTTGAAAAGATCTCTAGTCTTTCCCATTCTATTATTTTCCTCTATTTCTTTGCATTGATCGCTGAGGAAGGCTTTCTTATCTATCTTTGATGTTCTTTGGAACTCTGTGTTCAGATGCTTATACCTTTCCTTTTCTCCTTTGCTTTTCACTTCTTCTTTTCACAGGTATTTGTAAGGCCTCCTCATACAGCCATTTTGCTTTTTTGCATTTCTTTTTCCTAGGGATGGTCTTGATCCCTGTTCTCCTGTACAATGTCACGAACCTCTGCACATACTTCATTAGGCACTCTATCAGATCTAGTCCCTTATATACACCTTTGAATACTGTGCCTCTTGTAACTGACTGTATTTTTCTCCATGCTTTGACTGCTAGAAAGTTCAGAGCCTAACCTGCAGGCTGGCTCTCAGGGTACTGTGTTTTTGTACAGGCGTGCACTGCACCACTCCAGGAGGTGCTATGTTCCCTTCTGAGTAGGTGTCAGAACCATTTAATCAAGGCAGAAGAAACAATCTGTTAGTCACCCTTATTATTCTTTCCTCCTACATCCAATGGATCAACCTAGTCTTTCCACTGCGTGACCCAGACATTCCTTAACCACGTCCTGTTCTCCTCAACCCACTACAGCTGCCACAGTTCACCTCCTCACCATATTCTATAGTTGCAGTAGCTTCCCAGCAGCTCCAGACATGTATAAAAAAGCAAAAGATTTTTTTCCTCTACTGGATGGCTCAAGAATTATGTGAATCAATTCCCCTCTCACTAATGCTTTGACTAGCTCACTATTAGGACAAAACCCAAGGTCTGCATCCAGGCTTACAAAGGCCTCCCTAGTCTGGCCCCTGACCACCTCTCCAGGTCACCGCCTGTAATCCCCAGCGCTGTCCTGCACTCGCAGACCTCCTCACACACCCACTGTGCCAGGCCTGCTCGCCATCTCAGATACTGTTCCACTTGCATCTCTCCTCCTCTGCCTCGAGAAAATCTACTGCTGTCTCCCCGATAAGACTACATTTTGGAGGTAGTGTGTTAGTCACGCAGTCATGTCCGACTCTCTGTGACCCCATGGACTGTAGCCCGCCAGGCTCCTCTGTCCATGGGATTCTCCAGGCAAGAACACTGGAGCGGGCTGCCAGGTCCTCCTCCAGTTGGAGGCAGTCTATGTCTAATTGGGCTTTGTTTTCCCAGTACCTAGCAAGTTGGGGAGTAAGAAGGACAAATTACTATATATAAAATACATAAGCCACAAGGATATATAGCACAACACAGGAAACACACCCAATATTTTATAAGAACTACAAGTGGAATATAACCTTTAAAAACTGTGAAACTATTTTGACCCCCTGCAGCTTATATAATAATGTACATCAAGTATACCTCAATGAAACAAAACATTGGAATTTTTTAGACATTTTTAAAATTTCTTGGAATTGTGAAACATCAAGGTTGGGAAACTGTCACACTGAGATTTCAGGATACCAACTCTGTATCTATAATTGTAACCTGAACCCAACAGGCAGAGTTAACAGTCATACATGGCACCCCTAAGTTCATGGGGAACTCTTACTTATCTCTAAGATAGATCCCACCTCCCCTTCCTCCAAATGTACTGGAGACAGAATTAAACTGACCTAGTGATGTTAATAATAATTAAATACAGCTACATTCAGGAACTCTGTTAGAATTAGACTTTAATGAGCCTAAAGGTAATAATAAATGTTTCTCTGAGAAAGCAAATGAGTTCAAGATATTTAGGCTTTGGCCTCACACACAGATCATAAGCCCTGATACCTGGGGCCTGTATTAAATGTAGAACTTCCGATATTTAAGTAATGACAATGAACTGTGACTAGGCAAGAAAAAAAAATGCAGTAACTGGAATGGGCTTTGGGGGGGTGAAAAAAAAAATCAATGCATTATTTCCAAGTAGGCTGGGCTTTTAAGGCCAACAATCAAGTGATTTGAGGCTGGCACACTAGTGGCTGCTGAGTCTAGGCAGCAATTCACATCTGATGCATATGGCTGAGTAATAAACAATATCTGACGCTTCACATGCTAGTAAGTCCAGGTACTGAAATCGTATTTCCTTGTGTTCTCTTGCCAAGTCAGCAATATTTTCCATCCTGATGCTTCTCTAAATCACATTTGTTTAGTTACCGTGGCACTGAAATGACCACATTCTTGAAACTTTGGTGCCCTCCACAAAATTAATTAGACTGTAAACAGAAATTCTAACGAAGTGGTGCATCTCACCATGTGATGGAATTAGCAGTGCAGGTGGGAGCATATGCCATGGAAGGAAACGGACAATCACCCTCACTTGAGGAAAAACGTCGGTTATTGGATCACTACAGCTACAAAGGCTGTGTACTAGGTTTTATGTGCCTCGGATAGCAATTTGCAGAATAGTTTTCCGAATCCTGGTCGTATGTTGGCTACTCACCTTCAGCGCACAACACTGGGGCTTTTGCAACTGAGAGGCTGATGGAAATAAGGCAGGAGAGAAGCTGCCTCGCTGCCTGCAGAGGGGCCCAGAGGAAAACCCCCCTCCGATCAGCGCAGATGCCAGCGGGAAGGACCGCCACTTCCTAATCACTGAGCTTCACTTACCTGGCCAGAGAAGACATACTCTAAGAGGGAATCTCTCTGGATCTGTTTGGAGATCCCTCAGCCCTCCGCCACGTCTACCCAGAGATGCTCTGTCATCCACAGCGGGACCAGCACGGATGGCCCTGTCAAGAGCCTGAGAAGGTGGGCAGGAGTGCGCGGGAGCAGGAGAAGAAACGCCGGCGGGCACTGAGCGAGGGCTCGGCCTTTTTGCTCTGAAGCCCTGCTGGCTTCTGCGCTGCCGGTACACTAGGCGCACATGTGGGGAAGTACTTCTACCACGTGGTTATTAGCAATGAATTAACCCTGAATGCTTGCGGCTTCGTTCCATCCCGCATAATAACACCTAAAAGGCAATGCCAAATTAAAAAGTTCTATACTCCTCACTGCAATTGTGCCACGAGACTTTCTTCTGCTGATTCTAGATCCCCATACTCTGCAAATAAAAAATGGGCAATGATTTCTTGCAGACCTCTACCATCCTAAAGTTAGGGCATACCCGTGACAGAGGGATTGTTTTTGATATGTCTGTAATTTTGCATTGATCTGTTGGTCCTTAATCCACTGTAGAATGCTACACAGCCATACAAAGCCCCTGGGTACTGCCCTTCACATTTAAAGCTTTGATTTACTGAGAGATGTGTAAAACTTGATGTATGTAGGCAGCTCCTGTCAACTCTGTGGGTACTAAAACACAGATTACATAGGCGAGCAAATTATTCCAGCTGAAATCAGCATTAACTGAAACTTAGAATAACAATCCCCTCAAAACTTTCTTGAAAAACTTATCGCTCCAGTGGCTTTTGTCTCATGGTTTGTTCTGTATGTATTTAGTACAGCCTATTGAGATATCTGTCCTTTCCTCATGCTAGGAACTTTTCACAAGCAGAGGTTCAGAAAGTTAAGGAAAGGAGCCTCGTCATAGAGGGGCACAAAGGTTTGATGTTAGAGCGTGTCCTCTCCAGTGGGTCTGCAGTCTGTAGCTCTGCCCTCAGCTATACTCAACAGCCAGCATCTGTATGCATCTATGTTCAAGGAGGGATGGCACAGGTCAATTAACCACCTTTTTTTTTTTGTATTTAGATCTAGGGAGCAACCTTCAAGGTCAATATTTGGACTATGTGTGAAATTTGACTAAAACACCAACTATCTGAAGTTGTCACCATGTTGTGTGTATGGCAGAGATTTTTTCCCCCAAACATGTGTGAGGAACTTGGATATTGCAGTTCTTTTATTATATATCCATGAGATGTATTGCTTTACTTACAGGATTTACTTTGTACTGTAACACATATCTATAATAAAAAAATGCTTGCATAGATAAAGCCAACCAGTCCAAAAATACATGGTGAAAGTGTGTAGATGATATTTCCAGTAAAACCATCTTATTTCTTCCTAACAGCCTGAGCCTCTTAGCTGTCTGAAGTCCCTAACATAAAGTGATTCTTGTAGGACATGAGTTTAAAATGTAAGACAATACTTCATCTCTCCATCCTGTTACAATAGCAGCAATTAAATTCACAACTAACAGAAATCAGAAAATGCCAGGAGTTAATGTACTGGAAAAGACTGTTAACCCTCTTTGGTTTTATAAACAAATATAATATATGTCTCTTTGTATAAACATGTACATCCTAATCAAATATGTGGGTAGAACATATATAGGTCCCATAAACATGTAGGTAGAAAAGAGTTAAAAGCAAAACCTATTTGACCATCCTGTCAAACTAGACAGTAAACAGTTGGGAGTTTCCTCAGGAAGTTTTTCAGGAGGATAAAGCAAGAAGTACCACCAATCTAGCATGTTTTTACTTGCAGAAGGGATCAGCTACCTGTGCATCTTGGGGCAGTCAGCCAATCTACTTTTTTCTCCAAAACTGAAGCAGTTCTTGAGGGAAGGAAACAGCTCTGCACATCCTGTAAAGGTATGTCCACTTCAGAGAGTATCTGACTAGAACTGGTAACAAAAAGAATTTAGCAGTAACAAATTTGCATGTGGTTAACTGGAATTACTAAGTGGCTAAAACAATTAAGCTGAAGTACAAAAAATGTTTTTCATGTGAGCTTTCCCTTGATCTTCACTCCTCGCTTATTTGTTTAAGCATTCTATGAGCATATGTTAGTCACTAATGATGCAAAGATGAATTTAACACAGTTGCTACCTGCAAGGTGATCCCCGGGTAGTGAAGGAAACAGCCATATAAACAGGTAATTATGAAATAATGTGTTAAGTAACAATGATAGGCACACAGTACTATGAAAATAGAGAGCTAATTCATTCAGGGCCAAGACACCTCACCATCTGAGGAGGGAGAGAGTTGCATATAGAGGGAGAAGCCAGAGTGAAGACAGGTGACCCAAAAAAGTATACATACATGCATATTGCATATATGTGAAAAGTAAGCAATTGGTGTTACTAGAGTTTAAAGCTCAAATAGTAAGAAGGAAAAAAGATAAGGCTAAAGAATTAGAGCATCATTGATAAAGGATCCATTTTCCCAAAATTAAACAGTATTTGCTTTAGTCTGAAAGGAACGAGGAAACACTGGAGGGTTTTAATCAGCAAGGGCCAGTATGTGTTTTGCCAGCATCACAATAGCTGGCAAATGTGTGGAGGACAGATCTGAAAGTAAGGTTCTAGGGACAGAGACATGGACAGCATTATCGTAATAAAGGCAGGAGAATCTCAAAGGATGCAATCACAGAATGAGAAGGCAGTGAAACCCTATAGCATGCCAACACTTAGAGGCTAGGTAAAGAACTCAGGTGGATTTTAATAACCATCTTCCTTGGCTAGAGGAGATTCTTCTCTTTTTAAAAAAAAAAACTTTTTACTTTGTATTGGGGTATAGCTGATAACCTGGAGGATGGCATGGCAGCCCACCCCAGTACTCTTGCCTAGGGAATCCCGTGGATGGAGGAGCCGGTGAGCTGCAGTCCACGGGGTCGCTAAGAGTGGGACACGAGTGAAGCGACTAAGCATAGCAGAGACAGCATAGTGGATTAAACAGTTCCCAGGTGGTGCTAGTGGTAAAGAATGTGCCTGCCAACGCAGGAAACATAAGAGATACAGTATTCTTGCTTGGAGAATCCCCACGGACAGAGGAGCCTGGCAGGCTACACAGTCCATGGGGTTGCAAAGAGTCGGACATGACTGAGGCAACATAGCGTGCACGCGTAGCTGATTAACAGTGTTGGAATAGTTTCAGGTGGACAGCAAAGGAACTCAGTCATACATATACATGTATTCATTCTCCCCCAAACTCCCCTTTTATCCAGGCTGACACATAGCATTAAGCAGAGTTCCATGTACAGAGTTCTATACTGTAGGTAGAGGAGATTATTCTTGATTTGGCCAGTGAGCCCACTTACAACCTGGTTATCCCATGATTAGATTGGTGTTCAAAAAACACATGGTTTCATATGTGTATTTCAAACATACTCACTTGACTTCAGATTTATTTCATCCTCAGCAAAACTGTTCCAGTATGCAATTTTAATAAAATTGGAGTATGAAACGCATATTTCTTATTAGATCACACTAAAGCTACAAAGAGTTTTCTTGATGGTTAAATTACCTTGCAGAGGAGAGAGAAAGAGTGCAGCCAACAACCGCCTTTCCTCTGTTCCATGCTGGGTTATTTATTCTTAGAGGCTGTGTACCGTCCAGGACAGAACAAGTACCTGGTGGTGTGCCCGCTGTAGGTGCCAAGAACTGTTGTATCTACTCTGTGTGAAGCTGGATCACTTAGATAACAGTTGTTTTTCTTGATGTGGGTGATCTCACCCACTTCAATGACTTCAACCACCAGCTGCACACAGATGAATTCCAAATCTTTCCCTCTCTCCTGAGCTCTGGAGCCTTACCCATAATTGCCAACGAGACACTGTGGATATTCTCCAACAATCTCCCACTTCAAATGCACAACAGTAAGCCTGTTATCCTTCTTGTACACCTCTTCCTTCTTCTATAATCACTACCTCCAAGCATGACCCTAAAATTTGCTCAGTTACCCAGGTCAGCTCAGATTCTTCTTTCTCCTACACTACCTGTATAACCACCTAATCCTACAGAATCTAATTATTCTGATCAAGGGGCTTTATCTCCTCTTTTCTACTTCTCATCCTCTGTCTTCTCCCAGCCTTCAGGTCCCTCACCCAACCAATCCTGTCTCCAGGGCTTGATCATATTATTCCTTAAAGGTGTAAAATGGTTTTAACGGATTCTCATCGCCTTTTGAAAATTCTAGCTACTTCGAGGTCACAAGTCCCTGAATGAGGTGGCTCCTGCCTAACTCCACAACAATGTATCTCATCTGTAGCTCTGCACCCGCAGGTGCCCCACTCATGCACACCCCGAGGCCCTGGTTGCAGCAGACTCTTGCACTCAGAGGATCTTACAGGCCATGCTGGTTTATGCCTTAAGGCCGCCCCTTCTTAGAACATGTCCTGTTTGCCCCTGCTCCATCCAGACAGAAGCCTTCCTGTATTCATGCTTCAGTTTACGTATTTCATCTTCCAGAAAACATTCTGATCACCCCTGTATATGCCCCTTTTTTCTCCATTATCGTCTACACCATTGTCTACAAAAACACTTAGAACATCATATCATACTAATTGTATCACATATTTGACTCTTTCTATAATAATGCAAGCTTTTAGAAGAGAAGAACTTTTTAATATTCATCTTTGCATCCCAGGAGCCTAGTTTGATTCATGGCACTCCCTTAACTGATGTTCATTGACACCAAAGCAGTTTTTAAAAACTCATATTCAGATGAATACATCTTTCTCTTTTCCTTTAATTACTTTGTTATTTTGTAGCCAAAATATGGGGCTGGGGGCTGACTTAGTATGGTGACTGCAGAGACTGAGGTCAAAGTCCAAGTCTACTGCAGATGGCTGATAGAGCACAGACCTAAACGACAGGGAGGCCCAATCCAGACTCTGAAGAATAAATGTCATGCTCTCTTAGCACTTTCTGTCATGTCTGTCCCTTATATTTGCTCTCCCTCACTCAGTGTAAGTATTCACTAACCAAGTCTTTTTGAATAAGTATTCAAATATTTTTAAAGATCTCATTGTGTTCACATGAGGAAAGCATTATCTGCATTTTCAAACAACATATTCACACTGGGAGCATCTTGCTAAAACTGGCAAAGCAAAGAGCATTTCAGTTTGATACTGCTATAGAAATCTTAAAATGTATATTTAATTTTATGATAGCTTAAATTTTAAGCTAGGCAGTATGGTTGGTACAATTATATTTTTATATGCAATTCGATGAACTTAATCTAAAGTAGTCATTGAGACACCTGAACAAGAATGAAATCATTTCTAATTTACCCAGTAATCACTAACATAACAATACATGTCATATCTTTTGGCAAATACCAAACTAGATATACTGAGTTTAAAAGGCAAGTGAAAATCTCATCCCAATGTTTGCATTGTCTTTTTTAAAAAACAAGGAACAGCTTATTTTATCAACAAAGTAGATTTAGGAAAATGCAATCCATAAAATTTCCTTTTAAAAATTACTCTCTTGTTCCACAGAGTCTAATTAGATTCTGTTTCATTATAATTTTATCTGAACTCTATATGCTGTGCACAGCCTTGTAAATGAGTCATAGCATAACTATTTCCACTTTGTAGCCAGTTCTCCAGAGAAGCGAAGGAGAAAGGCAACAACTGCCTTTTAAGGAAATCAAACCTGTTTCTAGAGATAAACCTCTGTCCATTTCTATTCCAACGTATTCTCAACAACCAAAAAATAGAACACTATAAAATACAGATCTAATGGGTGAGCCACCTGGCCAAGTATATCTGTAGGTTTATTTAATGTTTCTCCTGTGTTATAATCTATTACAGATAAACACATTACATAAACATGTGCACCTGGCCACATGTGAAGTGGTGAAAAATGAAAGGACATTTCTTTATGTGAACACTGAAACATCTGGTTGCAGTTCAGGATTATATTTTGGCTACTTTATTAAAGAAATTTGTTTTCAAAAGTAAAACAGAAAACTTGCAGTTTCTAGGAAACTTGTAAAACATGGAATTTGTATTGCAAAAAATCTGAATAGAAAGCTAAATAGGAAAGACTGTAAAACATAGGGCCACATAGTAAACACTGCTGAGTTAGCTCCTCGCTGCCCAGCTCTATAATTTGATGGGAAAATGATCACCTTAATTTGGACTTCTCTCTAACTCTGCTCATTCACTGAATTTGAAAAGTGAGAGAATATCAAATTTTAGTATATGGCGGCTTGAAATTTAGCTAATTTTCCAAATATTTTGCAATTGTTTTATTCTCCTTACATTATACCAAAATATGCCTGCCACCAGTCTTTTTCTCACTGTCTTAAAATTAACTAGAAAAATGACTTCTGGCATAGTCAATTTTTTCTTTTAAATAAAGCACAAGTGATTGATATTTATCCATTATCACAAATTCATTTTTACAGACTGAAATATTTTTAGTATTGCTCCCTGGAAGTCATACATAAAAAGGAACACACATATACATGTACGTACATACGGCTACATAGTATAAAGCTAGGTTTCTTTTTTTTTACTAAATTCTTTCCTACTTCAATGATCCAAACAACAAAGCTACAGCTGAAGAATTCAAAAATTAAAAAACTGGATTCCTAGCTATTGTCACAACACCCTGATGCCATTATTAAGTCAGAAAATTACAATGGCTGAATTCTATAAATGTGAGGTGGTGGTGGCAGATGGCAGGGGATCGCTTTTAACCAGGTTACTTGTAATCTCCAAGATGATTAAAACAAAATTTTTGAAAGTAGCAGAAATTTCCTGGAATTGAAAGAACACCATTTTTTAAGAAAAATAAAAAGGTTTATTGTAAACAATAAATCTAGAAAAGATCTTGGAAAAAAACACTTTAAATAATAAT